TATTGGTGGCCTAAATAATGGAATTAAAGAATCAGGTCAGGCTTTAGTTTGGTTACAATATGATATAATAATAACATTATTGTATTGAATACAATTCCAACTGAATACCATACTTCATTCTTCTCAATGTGTTCAGTTACATAAAGTGGATTATTCCCAATGTCTGTAATTATTTCTTGGTTTTCTTGATACATCTGTGTCTCATTTTCACCATCCTCAATGTCCCGTTTTCTCTAAATTAAAAAATTTGTTGGAACTAAATACAACAAATAGCAAGTTCCAAGATTGATAGCAGTTATAAGTTACTGACCCTTGTTGACCGTTTTGGTGAGCTTGTTTCACGGCTGTCCAAAAATCTTTTGGTAACTCTGGTAGTAGTTGATCTTATGTAAGTCTTCATCTGCTGGGTCACCTCATCAGCCAAAGTTAGATCATAGCCAGTCTATTCATAATAATAAATCCGAAATTTAATGGTTTAATCAAAATATCAGCTAATAAACAGCTCTAGCGGTCCACCGTAGCTGTGTCAATAAAGGACCACTAAATCAAAATATCAGCTAATATGGATGGTTCACAAACCTCTATGTGTTTCTGTTTTTCATTACTGAATCTATTATCAACTGACATCCAGAAGTTGTCTATGCTTACGGAAGCCTTCTCATTCTTTCGAAAAAAAATATATTGGACGTTAGTATTAAGTATAAATTAAATAACGTTGCTTAAACTACTCCACAATCCATTAAAAAGACAAAGGTGGACCATAACACGACACGTAGTCTGACAACCAGTTGGTACGTAAGCATCCAGTTGCGTTATGGCAATAACATATTAATATGTCTATTCAAGGACGACCAAGGAAAGACGTACTTCACTGTCACCTAGCCAGTGCGTAAGTGGCTGGTTACTTGGTGGTTTGTCAATACATCACGTAATTGTCTCGCGACCGGAATGTATTCTAGCCCTTGAACCCACTCGTCTTAAAGTCAATAATAATAAATACTTAACTTCAAAATTAGAGAGATATTTTATAGCTTGAGCATGTTCCTTGGTCCTTGCTAATAGGTTCAGATTAGCTTTATACAACATATGCTCCTTTCTTCTATCATAAGTAAAATCATCGCCTTCCGCTCTGTACTTGAGGAACTTCAATAATGACCAGTCTGTATGTTCCTGGAAAAGTTTTCTAACGCTTGTTGTTGCAATTCAAGAGACATCGTAGTACTAATGGAAGAAAATGACACGAGAAGGGAA